TATGGGGTGCAGAGGGGGCGTCAGGGCTCGCATGTCGGGGGTGAGGGCTGCAGGGTGGGGCTGGGGATGAGGGGTTCAGGAGGGGCTCACCCCCCCTCCTGCCAGCCCTGAACCCCTCCCTCACCCCAAACCCCTCAGCCCCAGCCAGAACCCTCACCCCTCTGCACCCCAGCCCTGAGCCCCCTCCTGAACCCCTCAGCCCCAGCCAGAGCCCTCACCCCCTTCACCCAGCCCTGAGCCCCTCCTGCACCCAAAAGACCTCAGCCCCAGCCAGAACCCTCACCCCCTGCACCCCAGCCCTGAGCCCCTCCTGAACCCCTCATCCCCAGCCCCACCCTGCAGCCCTCACCCCCACATGCGAGCCCTGAGCCCCCTCCTGCACCCCATACCCTTCATCCCCAGCCAGAGCCCTCACGCTTTTACATTATTTAAAAACATATATATCAGCTTTCAAGGCATGTGTTGGGGGCAGGACTTGGACCCGTTCTGGACACCGCCAAAAATTATACAGACCTATCCCCCCCGTACCTGGCCCCTAACGCCCTCCTTCTTGGCCCCGCCCCGCGGCACTTTATATCCGGCCCCTAACGCCCGCCACCGCCATCCCGTGACACTGTATACCCAGCCCCTAACACCCCTCAACCCACACCCATCCCATGACACTTTATACCTGGCCCCTATTCCCCCACCCCTCCCATAATGGCAGCCTTTGCTCCCCAGGCATTGCGCCCCCCCGCCCCATTCACCAGTCTCTGCACTTATCCCGGCCTCAGGTCAGGATGAACCAAAGGGGCCAAAGTCCCCCAGCGGCCGCGTGGCCCCCGCTGGCCCAGGGAGCAGTTGGGGTCCCCTCCCTCTCTGCCCCGTTCCCCACTCCAGTCACTAGCCACGGTCCTTCAGATCCTTTTATTGTTTGACACTCGTGTCTCATTAACAGTGATTAGTAACAAAAGCCCATTGTGTAGTACCAAGAACCCCAGCGCTGAACCCCACGTCGCTTCTGCTCCCGCCCCCACTTCGGCCCAGCCTGCGCCCGGGAAATACCAGCTGTCGTCCGCCCCAGTTCACCCCCCTTCCCTGTCTCCATCACCGGGAGCCGTCCCGCCCTGCATTGAAGGCAAAAATCTTCCTGAGGATCCGTTAGAGGGGCAGGCCCGGGGCCAAGCACTGGAAAGGAAGAAGAGGGGTGGGGGTTGCTAAGCTCACCTCAGCTTGACGGTGAGAGCCCACCGGGAGGGAGGGCTGGTGCAGCTGGAAGAACCGATTGAGGATTCAGGGGGAAGACGGGGGTTTGGGGGGTTCCAGTTTGAGGTGGGACTCAGGGCTTAAAGAGAAAGGGACGGGGTGTCCTGGTGTGGTTAGATGATGGGTCGGCAGAGTTGAGAATTTGGCCGGCGTCCCACCTGGGGAGGGGCGTTGAGCACTGGGGTGAGGATGGGTGGTGATGGAGAGGTCTGGCATATCCTGAGTTGATTTATTGTAATACTGCTTAGGAACTGGGCTTGGGTTGAGTTAAGAGTGGCTAACGGTCAGTGCGGTTGAGAGATCCAGCCATGGACGGTGGTTCCTTTTTAGTGTTGCAACGGGGGCACAGATCATGGTTAAAATAAGCCTTACCGTCAGAGCTAAGCCTGGAGGATGCTAGGTTTGCATTCATGTGCTGGCTGATGTTGGGTTTACGGAGGACAGGGTTGGCGGTAGATGCTGAGGCCCTGGTTTGTGTGAAGAGCTGGACCCGATGGCGAAACCCAGCTGGGTTGTTCCAACCTCACAAGTGATTATATTAAAATCTGGCTGGAAGGAAGGTCAACCTTTCAAGGGGACAAGATGGCTGACTCATGGGCACGGAAACAAGATGGCAGAACCATGGTCAAGAGGAGAAAAATAGGCAGCCCACATCCAGGAACCAAGATGGTGGACATCGTCACGGAAACAAAACGGCCAATCCGTGTCAAGGAAACAAGAAGGCCTTCCCATGTCAGTTGAAGAAGATGGTGGAACCACAGTCAAGGAAAGAAAATGGCCAACCTATGTCAATTGAAGATGGCCAACCCACATTGAGGGAAGAAAATGGTGGAACCATGATTAAGGGAACAAAATGGCTGACTCCTCAAGCAAACAAGATAGCGGAACCACGGTCAAGAGAAGAAGATGGCCAACCCACGTCAAGGGAAGATGACAGCTGACTTGCAGCAAGGCACTGAGATAGCAGCGGCATTGGGCAAGGCGGGGGAATGCTATGTAAACAAACTCCACGAGGGCCGTGTTTTTGGCAGGCCGCCTCCCTGCCCCCCCTCACATCTTCTTCACCCGGCTCTCCAGCCCCTCGAGTTCCCTCATCACCTCCCGGGGTAGGTCGTCGTTGACCTGCTCGGTCAGGTACTTGCGCACCTCCAGCGCCTCCTGCTCCCAGAAGGCCTTGGGCAGGGAAAAGAGCTCTTGGAAGTCCACCTTGGCCAAGCCCTGGAGGTCAAGGGCCCCTTCCCGGGGCACATAGCCGATGGGCGTCTCCCGCGCGCTCTCCTCCCCTTCCACCCGCCGGAAGATCCAGTCCAGCACCCGCGAGTTCTCCCCGAAGCCTGGCCACAGGAAGTTGCCGGCCGCGTCCTTGCGGAACCAGTTGACGTGGAAGATCTTGGGCAGACGGACCCCGCGCCGCTCCTCCATGCCCAGCCAGTGCTCCAAGTAGCGCCCAAAATTGTACCCGAAGAAGGGGCGCATGGCGAAGGGGTCGTGCATGATCACCTTGCCTGGAGGGGGGGTGGAGAAGCAGGGAGGGTAGGTCAGCCAGGGAGTTATGGGTAACCGGGGATTGTGGGATTGCAACACAAAGGACTGTGGGTAAGTGGGGGTGGCGGGAATCTGCCACAAAGGACTGCGGGTAATCAGGGAGAGTGGGAGGGCAGCGCAAAGGACTGTGGGTAAATCAGGAATTGTAGGAATCTGCCACATTGGACTGAGTATTCAGCAAGAGTGGGATTCTGGGGCAATGGATTGTGGGGGATTTGGCACTGCAGGACTCCAGCGCAAAGGACTGTGGATAGCCTGCCATCACTGGACATTGGCGCAGTGGATTGTGGATAATGGGGTGACACTGGGATGGTGCAATGGGCAACCCCCTCCAGGGAGCCCCCGAGTTCCTGTTTCCCGGGGAGGAGGTAAAGGAACACGGGACCCAGGTGTCCGGGGGCCTTTACCTTTGTGTTCGGCAGCGGCGGTGGACTCGGACCTCATGGCGCTGCCCACGAAGACGCCGTGCCGCCAGTTGAAGGCTTCGTAGACCAGGGGCACCCCTGGGGAGAGGGGGGAGAGCGGTGTGAGCCCACTGAGGGACCCAGGAGTCCAAGGGGAGGCAAGAAAGGTGGACAGGGGGGTTACCTTGGGGTCTCCTCCCGCCGAAGATGATGGCGTCAATGGGGACGCCCTCGGGGGACTCCCAGGCCGGGTCCATGATGGGGCACTGGCGGGCCGGGGCGCAGAACCGGGAGTTGGGATGGGCGCACGGCTCCTTGGCACCTGGCGCAGAGAGAGACATTAGGGGGTGCCGTGGGGAGGGGCCGGCAGGGGGCACCGCCCCGCGGGCAGTGGGGGGAGGGGGAAGCGGCCATGGCCCTACCCGGTGCCCAGGGCCGCCCCAGCCAGCTGGTGACGGAGGTGCCGGGGGGCAGGACCTGGTCGATGCCCTCCCAGTAGACACCCCCCTCGCTGGTCTCGCCCACGTTGGTGAAGAGGGTGTTACGCTGTATCGTGTGCATGGCGTTGGGGTTGGTCTTCATGGAGGTGCCCGGTGCCACTCCGAAGAACCCGTTCTCGGGGTTGATCGCCCGCAGCCGGCCTGGGGGAGGGGAGAGGGGGTTAGCTGGGGATCCTCCCTGAGGGCTCCCCCCCATCACCACGCTGGATCCCCCAGACACCCTCTCTCCAGAGGAGCTCTCCCCTCCCCAGCCCTTCAGCTTGGGGTTTCCCCCACATCCCCCCTGTGCCCCATCCCAGATCTACTGCCCCCATCCTCGGTGTGTCCCCCCAACACCTCCCTTTTGCCCCCCTGATCTCACCCTCGCTGTCAAACTTCATCCAGGCGATATCGTCCCCGACGCACTCCACCCGCCAGCCCGCCAGCGTGGGGTTCATCATGGCCAGGTTGGTTTTCCCGCAGGCGCTGGGGAATGCAGCTGCCACGTACTTCTTCCGCCCCTCGGGGTTGGTGATGCCCAGGATCTGGAGGGGCCAGGGGGAGTGGGAATATTAGGGGCTCAGGTGGGCTCCTCGCACTCCACCGGGGAGAGCACAGGGGCAGCAGAGAGCAAGAAACCACCCACAATTCTTTGCAACGTGGACTTGGGCTACCCAATTACCCACAGTGCTTTGCAACACAATCTTGGGCTACCCAGCAACCCCCAATCCTTTGCAACAAAGCCCAGCTGCTCCAAATTTACCCACAATCCTTTGCAACATGGTCTTGGGCTACCTAGCTACCCACAATCCTTTGCAACAAGGTGTCCGGTTAGCCAACTACCCATAATCCTTTGCAACACACTCTCCAATTACCCACAGTCCTCGGCATAGTAGCCCTACTGCGGCCAATTACCCACAATCCTTGGTGCCTGAATCATTCTGGCCCACCATCTTTTGCAACAGGCTCTTGCTCCCCCAAACTACCCATCATCCTTTGCACCAGACTCCCATTCTCCCCGGTGACCCACAATCCTTTGTGGTCATGTGCTGGGCATTCAGATTACCCACCATGCTTTGCAACAGAGGCTGGCTCCTGTCAGCCTCCCACAAGCCTTTGCACCCGCCTCCTGCGTGAGCCAATTCCCCTCTGACCCCCTGCCCGGGGCCAGTGCCCCCAGGGGTTAAAGTGGGGGGCTCTTTGCCCGCCCCATTGGCGTCAGACACAGCCCCATTCACCTGGGATGTCAACAGGGCCTGGGCATTTATTAACTAATATTTGCTCGTTAAATATCCGGGGAGCGAAGGTGTAAACACAGAGTGGCCTTTGGTCCCAGCCCCTCCCCTCCCAAAGCCATGGAGAGAACCCAGGAGTCCTGGCTCCCAGCCCCTCCAGCTCTACCCACTCAACTCCACCTGAGCTGGGGATGGAACCCAGGCGTCCGGGCCCCGCCCCTCACCAGCATGTGTTCGGCCAGCCACCCCTCGTCCTTGGCGATGCGGGAAGCAATGCGCAGGGCGAAGCATTTCTTCCCCAGCAGCGAGTTCCCACCATAGCCGCTGCCGAAGGAGACGATCTCCCGCCTGTCGGGGACGTGGGCGATCAGGGTCTTCTCGGGGTTGCAGGGCCAGTTGTTCACCAGGTCCTCTAGGGGGTGGGGATCAGAGATGGGGGGATTAGGGGGGTGAAGGTGTCTGGGGTATCGTCCCACTGCTCACACCAGCAATTGGGCGGGGTTGGTACGGGAGGGTTACCCCATCGCGCCCACCAAGGTTAGGGGCTGTATATGCATCTCTGCCGGCATTAGCCCAGCCCCCAACATTGGTGGGTGACGTGGGATATGTGTCTCTCTCTCTCTGTGGGGGGGGGCCTTATCCCACCTTGCCCACCAATACACCCACCAATGTTGGGGGCCAAGCTGTGTGGGTCTCTCTCTCTCTGTGGTGGGTGTTATCCTACAGCACCCACCAATGTTGGGGGCCAAGCTGTGTGTCTCTCTAGGGGTGTTATCCCACTGCACCCACCAATGTTAGGGCCTGCATGTCTCTCTGGGGCATTACCCCCACCCTTCGCACCCATCCATGGGACGGATTGGGCTGTGTGTGACCAGGGGAGTTATCCCATTGCACCCACCAACAGCCCAGGACTCACCTTCCAGGGGCAGGGGGCGCCCCACAGAGTGGAGGCACTTGACAAACTCCCCCTCGCCTAGGGCACGGAGGACGGGGGCCCCCATCCGGGTCATGATCCGCATGCTGGCCACCACATAGGGGGAGTCCGTCAGCTGCACCCCGATCTTTGAGAGTGGGGAGCCAATGGGGCCCATGCTGTAGGGGATGATGTACATGGTGCGGCCTGGAGGGGGAAACAGAGCGATGGGTATAGGCGTATGGGGGCCCCATTTCCCACCCCCCAGTGCCCCCTAGAGGGGAAGGGCCCGTCACCTTTCATGCAGCCGGGGAACCGGCCGTCCACGGCCTCCTGGAAGGCTTTGGGGCCCATCCAGTTGCCCAGCTGCCCCTTGGCGCCCCCAGCGGGGATGGGCACCGTGTCTCGCTGGTTCTCCGTCACGATCACTGTCTTGCTCTCCACCCGCGCCACGTCCTTGGGGTCCGTCCGGGCCAGCCAGCTGGGCGGGGAAAGAGCCAGGGAATCATTCCAACCTCAGCACCCCCTCCTCCAGGGACCCAGGCGTCCGGGACAGCGGGGAGATCGGGAGGGGGAATGGGACCCAGGCATCTGGGACAGCAGGGAGATCAGGATGGGGAATGGGACCCAGGCGTCCGGGATGGTGCTGCAGCCCCTTTAAGAGGAGATCGGGATGGGGAACGGGACCCAGGCGTCCGGGACGGCGGGAGATCGGGATGGGGAAGGGGACCCAGGTGTCCAGGACGGTGCTGCAGCCCCTGCGCGGGGAGGGATCGGGACGGGGAATGGGACTCAGGTGTCTGGGACAGCGGGGAAATCAGGATGGGGAATGGGACCCAGACGTCCGGGACGGTGCCGCAGCCCCCGGGCGGGTAGGGATCGGGATGGGGAAGGGGACCCAGGCGTCCAGGACAGGGCCGCAGACCCTGGGCGGGGAGGGATCAGGATGGGGAACTGGACCCAGGCATCCGGGATGGCGCCACAGCCCCCAGAGGGAGGATCTTAGGATAGCCAAGAGCCTATTGCAAAGGACTGTGGGTAACTGAGGAGAGCAGGACAGGGGATAATGGGTAATTTGGCCCCACCAGTGCAAAGGACTGTGGGTAAATTGGCACAGCGGGAACCTGCCGCAGAGGATTGTGGGCAGTTTGCAAGAGCAGGAGCGGAGGCTTGTCGGTAGTTTGTAGGAGCGGGACAGTAATGCAAAGGATTGTGGGTAGTTTGGCTTGAACGGTGAGGAGGGGAATGCAGCGATACGGGGCAGGGGACCCAGGCGTCCGGGAGGCACCTACCAGTTCTCATATTTGTCCAGCTGTTTGATGACGCCCTCATCCTCCAGCAGCCCCAGGATGGCCTCGTTCTCAGCCTCAGAGCCGTCACAGACGTGAACGTTTTCGGGCTGGCACAGCCGCACCCCGTGCTCCACGAACGCCCGCAGCCGGCCTGGGAGCCGGCCCAGGTCCCCGCTCGGCACTCGCAGGGCATGGGCCGACCGGACCGGCGCCCCCCACCAGCACCGCAGGAAGCGGGCACCCTGCCTGCAACGGGGAGAGGGGGTGAGGACAGGCTGGGGCCAGATCTTCCACAAGAGCGTGTGAGCTCGCACAGGCCTCTCTGGGTATGCACAAGAGCGTGTGGGCTTGCAATGAAGTGTGCATACGTGCTCACACTCCCACGTGGCAGAGCCCACATGAGAGTGTGTGCGCTTGCACACAGGTTCCCGAGCGGGTGCTGCAGGGATAGAAACATGCAGAAGGCTTCCCGGCCACGCACTGGGGTGGAAACGCTCCTGCCAGCGTGGCTTAGCGTGCACAAGACTGCATGAGCTTGCACAAGCATTTGTGAGTGTGCACAAAGGCTTGTGCACTTGCATAAACTCACATGAGCGTGGACAAGAATGTACATGTTTGCACAAGTGTATCAGAGCATGCAGAGGACTGCATGAGCTTGCACAAGAATTTCTGAGTGTGCACAAAAGCCTGTGTGCTCCCCTGAGCATGCATGAGAATGCACGCATTTACACAAGTGGGACAGAGCATGCACAAGAGTGCATAGATTTTCACAAGAAGGCGTGTGTTTACATGTGCTTTCATAAGCACTCCTGGCGGTGCCTGATGTGAAATAATCGTGCAAATGCATCGCAGAGCAACGAGGCTGCCGGGAGCACTCCAAGCTGGATACAGATTTGCACAACGCTCGTGGTGCCGGGATACGCAGTGGTGACTCTGTGGCGAGCATGCCGAAGCATGTTCGAGGCGCAGAAGCCCGCAGGCGTTTGCACGAGGACCTGCGAGTGTGTGAGGAGAGCAACCTTGTTTGTGCGAGGGCATATGCACCGTCTCATACCCCACACGCTTGTGACACGCATGTCAGAGCGTGCAGAGGCAGCCCCCACCCCACCAGGCAGGAGGGGAGCTCTGCTAGACTAGACCAAACCTGCCCCCTGCCCAGCACTCCCCCATGCCCCTCACACGAGGGCGTGTGCCCCACAGCCGCCTCTGATTGGCAAGCTGCCTGGAGCGGGGGTGGGGGCAGCTGGCAGGGCAAAGAGCAAGAGGCAAGACACGTTGCCTGGACTTTCACCTGGTGGCCGCTGGGGATTCTGGGTAGGGAGATCAGGGGGGCGGGGGAGTACAGGGGCAGCCCCCCAGAGGGGGATCGGCCAGGACGTGCTGTCCCCAGTGCTGACCCTGGGGACACTTGCCCAATCAGGGGTGGATCCCAGTCAGCGAAAAGCGGCTGCCTCTGGGGTGGGGCACAGCCACACATAACGCAGCAGCCCCCTCCCCAGGGCGGGGAGAGCGCCCACTCCCTGCAGTGGGGGGCTGCGGGTCGGGAGTGAGGGGCACCCCTCGCTCTCCCATCCAAGCTGCTGCCCGGCCCTGACCCTGCTGAGCGGAAAAACAAAGCACCGTAGAGCCGCCTTGGGCCAGTCCCGAGCCGGGGGGGGGGCAGGGGGCGGGGCCGGGGGAGGGGCGAGGTGACGTGGAGGCAACACAAGGAAGTGAGGGCCTGAGCCCTGAGAAACACAACACGAGATTCCCCCCCCCGCAAGCTGCCAGGGCCCCTCACTCCCGACCTGCAGCCCCCCCCCCCAGCCCCGCCGGGAGCCCCTCACTCCCGACCTCCAGCCCCCCCCCCCAGCCCTGCCAGGGCCCCTCACTCCCGACCTCCAGCCCCCCCCCCCAGCCCTTGCCAGGAGCCCCTCACTCCCGACCTGCAGCCCCCCCCAGCCCTGCCAAGGCCCCTCACTCCCGCCCCGCCAGCCCCCCCCGCCGGTGCCCCTCACTCCCGACCTGCAGCCCCCTGCCAGCCCATCTCTGGGCCCCCATAGAGCGGGACCTGAAGGGAAAGGAAAAGGGAATGAATGAAGATGGGGCAGAGGAATGGGGGTGCAGGATGGGGGTTCGGGGTACACGGGGTACAGGAGGATGGGGGTTCGGGGTACACGGGGTGCAGGAGGATGGGGGTTCAGGGGCACATAGGGGTGCAGGAGAACGGGGGTTCGGGGGTACATATGGGGTGCAGGAGAACGGGGGTTCGGGGGTACATAGGGGTGCAAGACGCGGGTTCGGGCTGCGGGGGGGGGACAGACCGACGGGGGCCGAGACACTCACCCCAGGAGTCGGGTGTACGGCGCGGGCATCATGCGTACAGTGCAGAAAGGACCCAAGCGTCCGGGTGCCGCTCGCAGGGGGGCGGTGGCCCCGTTTTAAAGGGGGAGCCCGCCAAGCGGGAGGCGGAGCGGGGCCGGGGGGGGGGTCTCCCCCCCTCCTTCTCCAGTCTATCGGTCTCTCCCGCCGCTTGCCCCGGCTCTGATTGGCCGCTCGGGGCCAGGCCCCCCCCCCCCGTATGATGTAAGACCGGGGAGGTATTGCCTGGACAGACAGACAGAGGGGAAGGACTAATGTCCCAGGCCCCGCCCCTCTGTGTCTGTCCCAGTGTGCACCGCCAGCTGGTTTGTTATTGTAGGGTCTCCTGGGAGTTGGAGGGGGCTGTTTTGTTATTGTACGGTCTCCTGGGATGTTGGGGGAGTAGGTTTATTATTGTAGGGTTTCCTGGGAGGCTCGGGGAGCTGGTTTGTCATTATAGGGTCTTCTGGGGGCTGGGAGAGTGGATTTGTTATTGTAGGGTCTCCTGGGTGATTGGGGGGGTTAGTTATTGTAGGGTATCATGGGGGGGCTGGTGAGTTATTGTAGGGTCTCCTGGGTGATTGGGGGGGTTAGTTATTGTAGGGTATCATAGGTGGGCTGGTGAGTTATTGTAGGGTCTCCTGGGTGATTGGGGGGGTTAGTTATTGTAGGGTCTCGGAGTCTTGGGGTTGATTTGTTGTTACCGGGTCTCAGGAGGGTTTGGGAGCTGGTTGGGTTTGTGGAGTCTCCTCTGAGCCCCTGGTAAATGTTCTGGCTGCAGTTACAGATTCTGGCCAGCAGGTGGCAGCATCAGCACAGAGACCTGAGCGTCCCACCCCGCCCCCCACTCACCTGGCCCCTCCCTCTCCCCGTAGCTCCTCCCCTGCCTGCACTTCTTCCCTTAGCCCAGCCCCTCCCCCTTGTGCCCCCCATTCCCCCTCCCCCTTGTGCTCCCCCAGCCCCTCCCCCCTGTGCCCCCCATTCCCCCTCCCCCGTTGCCCCCATTCCCTCTCCCCCCTGTGCTCCTCAGCCCCTCTCCCCTGTGCTGCCCCTCCCTGCACTTCCCCCACCCTGTGCACCCCCAAAACCCTGTATTACCCCTCCCCCTCTGCTGCCCTGCCCCTCCTCCGCCTTCAGCTTTTTCAGCAACTTCCTCATTTTTCAGGGTGCTGACTCCAGAGCCCCCCCGAGCCCCGCCCTCCTAGAGGGCAGCGTGACCGGGGGTGGGGATCACACGCTAATCACCCAACTGGATTGTGCAACAGCCCCCCCCACCCCAGCTCTGCCCCCACCCCCTTTTATACAGGGCAGGGACTGGCTGGTTCGGGGGTGGTGAATGGGGCGCGGGGCCCGTCCCCTCTAGGGGGCGCCGGCTCCCACCCGGCCCCAGGGCGGGGAATGGGGCGCGGGGCCCGTCCCCTCTAGGGGGCGCCGGCTCCCACCCGGCCCCAGGGCGGGGAATGGGGCGCGGGGCCCGTCCCCTCTAGGGGGCGCCGGCTCCCACCCAGCCCCAGGGCGGGGAGTGGGGCGCGGGGCCCGTCCCCTCTAGGGGGCGCCGGCTCCCACCTGGCCCCAGGGCGGGGAATGGGGCGTGGGGCCCGTCCCCTCTAGGGGGCGCCGGCTCCCACCCGGCCCCAGGGCGGGGAATGGGGTGCGGGGCCCGTCCCCTCTAGGGGGCGCTGTGGGGCCAGCAGGGGATGGGATGCTCGCCCTGGTGCTGGCTATTCTGGGCCCTGCCCGGCCGTCCACGGGGGGCACATGATGAGGTGGGAACCGCAGCGCTTGGGCAACAGGGCAAAGGGCCGCTGGAAACCCAGGCGATCTGTGAGTCAGTTACTGACACAACGTCCCTGAGACCGCAGCCAGCCAGGCCCCACCGTAGGGCCAGATGGGAGCCGGTGCCCCCTAGAGGGGAAAGGCCCCGTGCCCCATTCCCTGCCCCCCTGAGCCAGCCCCACCCTGCCCTGGGGCCGGATGGGAGCCAGCGCCCCCTAGAGGGGAAATGCCCCGTGTCCCACTCTCTCTCCCTGGCCTGGAGTCGAAGCCGGGGCTAGCAGCTCAGACAGGCCCCGCTGGTTTCTCTTCCAGCCACTCACCCCATCTGCTCCCCCGGCTCTCCCCTTTGATCCTATTTACCGCCCCAAATCTCCCAAGGATAAACAGCCCGTGTGTGGGGGGGGGGGAGGGATGGAGCTAGGAAGGGACCCTGGTGTCCGAGCCCTTGCCCCCAAATCCAGCAGGGAAAAGTAGCCTGGGGAGGGAAATCCAGGGCAGTGGGGAAGGGCTCTGGGGAGAGCCAGGGATGGACACGCCATAGTCACAGGAGACTCACAGATACACCAGGGACATGGGAGAGTCACGGGCATGCCAAGGACATGCCAGGGACATGGCGAGTCAGAGACATGCCAAGCACACGCCAAGGACACACCAGGGACATGAAAGAGTCACAGACATGCCAAAAACAACAAGGAGTCTGGTGGCACCTTAAAGACTAACAGATTTATTTGGGCATAAGCTTTCGTGAGTAAAAACCTCACTTCTTCGGATGCACTATGCATCC